TGCAGTTAAAAATACTGTTATATAGACATAATAATTTTTAAAGAATGGAACAGACAGGCATTTTGAAATGCCTGTCTTTTACAATGCTAAAAACTTTTTATTTCAGATTTTCCTTGGTTGTAACAGACAGGTGTTTCAAAACGCCTGTCTGTTACTAGGCTAAAAACTGTTTTCTACAGATTTCCCTTGGTTGCAACAGGCAGGCATTTTAAAACGCCTGTCTGTTACAATGCTAAAAACTTTTTATTTCAGATTTTCCCTGCGTGTAACACAGAGCATTTTAAAATGCTCCATGATACACCCAGGAAAATCTGAAAGAATTGAAATTCTGGAGTGTAGCAGGCAGGTGTTTCAAAACGCCTGCCTGCTACACTCAAGAAAAGTTCATCAAAAATTTTTAAAGTATAGGCATAACTGCAGAATGCATTAAAAATGAATTCTGAATGCATTTCAGAAAAAACTTTCAGTACAGCAACACAGAAAACAAAGAAAAAAAGAAAGGTGTTTCAGAAGAAGCTGGGCATAAAAGTTATGCATAACAAATGCATTTTGAATGTGTAACTGTTACGCGCAGCAATACCCCTAACAAATTATTTGCTGGGTAGTAATGTGCTTTTGTCATGTCATATACTTACATACCTGCCATATTAGTTTTCCCATTTTAACATGCAGCAATTGCTCCTGGTATTTGTTTGGAAATTTCTGTTGAAGAATATTGGACAATTTTTTTCATAGATGTTGTAGAAGTTCTTTGATTCATTGTGGATTAGATACTGTGTCTAATTTATGCTTTCTGGTTAAGAGTTCTGATTCAATATGTTATAGGCTAAGTTGTATGTTACAAATTTTTACTTAACATTGGGTTGCTTATTGTCTAATAGACAAGGTTAAATGTGTTATGTGCAAGGCAATTTTTGTTTTTGGCAAGGTAGCCTTTATAGGTGATGGGGTGATCCTTTTTCAATGAAATGGAGTCTGAAATATGTCAAAACAAATAATCAAAATCTCCAAAATTATGCTCCATATGAGCCATAGTACAGCAGGGCCCTCCTCAAGTGCAGGGCCCCCTCAAGCGCAGGGCCTGGGGCAGCCGCCCCTCTTGCCCCACCCTAAGGCCACCACTGCTTACTTAATCATCATGCATTTTTTTTTGGAACAACTGATATTATTGTGCCCATTTGTAACCAAACAAATCAAATTAACTCTCAAATGCACTGAGTTTCATGTTGAAGCATATACATATTTTGGGATTCTACTGAGAATCCCCTTGGATTGTTTGATATCATTTATTTATTGCTTCAATATTCATTCTTTGTGGGCCTATGACTCCATTTCATTGAAAAAGGCCCCATAGTTTTAGAGTACTGTGCATCTGAAACAGCTAAATCAAGACCTGTTATGATTTGTAAGCATTTTGACAAAATGCAGAGAAAAGTTCTGAAAGAAATAGTTATTGCATTTCATTAAACCTGCCTTTGTACTAGTATAAATTCCGTACTTCCTCCTGAGTCAACTTATTTGCTCATACCTGTCTCTTCATTTAAATGGATGAACATATTTTCTAGAACTGTATACTGTTGTTTTGAAAGAAAGGCATAAAATTTAAAATGTAGTCAAAGAATTTCCAAGATGCATGCCATGTTGTGCATTTTTTGAACACCTAGCCTTCTCAACAAAAATCTTTAGTCCTTCAAGAAATTGGACCTTTTAATTTTTTTCATTCCTTCTATCATTTATGAAATAATTGCTATATAGCCTATGCACAAAATCAAGCCCAGAGTTGTATCATGATGAGATTAAAGTCTAAAATGAGTTCATAAAAATGAGATACCTATAACATGGTGCCTAAGGAGAAACTGCCAAGACCATGAAAAATTGATGATAAGAAAAATGTATTGTTATGAGTTTCATTGTGATGGGATTTGATCTTATCTATGTTTGGCTAAATTCTAGCCTCAGGTATCCTTTGTTCTCTATACAAATTATATTTATTAATTATGTGATGAAAAATTCACATTTCCTTCTTACAACGAAATATTAAGCCCAGTTTTTGCTCAGCATCAGGCCAGAATGTGGTTTAATCCAGCCGTGGTTGTGGAAATCTTGATTGCACCTTGTGAATGCTGAAAAGCAGCAAATAAAGCATTCTGTTCATTCATTCATACAAAATTTTAAAAATCCAATTTTATTTTTCTTTTTTGAGAAAATAATGATGTTGTAGAAGTTGTAGGAAACAATTCCCTGCATCCTATGAGACCAGGGTACCAAAGGAAGTTGATGTGCAGAAGCACTGATCAGGTGAACACCAGGAATTCCTGGTGATCAGGTGATAATCAGCACTATACACCTGTTTTTCTATCTTGGCTTTGATGGTGCAATTCTTGTCTTCCTCAGACCTTTTTTTCTCTCTGATCTCAGCAGTCTCAATCTAACTTTCATCCCAAACAGTTGCTATTTGCTGTCATTTTGCTTGTGTGAATTTGGAATTCTTTGCAATTCATGTGAAATACAATTATTCTTGTCTTTTGGGATTCTACTGAGAATCCCCTTGGATTGTTTGATATCATTTATTTATTGCTTCAATATTCATTCTTTGTGGGCCTATGCCCTACAAGAGTTGCCTGTTTTGGATTTGGTTCCATTACGCCTATTTCTTTATACAGTATTACAACATGTATGGTTATCTTTTTAATACATTACAATATTTACTTTTTCCTTTTTCATAGCTTTTAAGGGATTTTGCGCTCCTCAGTTTGAAACGCGTGCTGCTGGATTTAACAAATTTGGCCGGCCTTCAATAAATGGAAATTAATGCAACAAAAAAGTGCTATGGTTATATTTCAGATTTCAGGTTCTGTTTGGAAAGGTGAAATAGTTTTTAAAACATTAATTTTTATACAAGATAAGATTTTCCCACGTATTGTGGCTTATATTATTTCTTCAGAAATAAGAAAACTGAGCCTTTTCTCTATATACCCTCTGAACAAACAAATAATTTTGAAGGACCAAGAAAAATGGATTGCAGAGTTGATTTCAAGCTGCTGATTTTTAATCCCCGATTGAGAGAAAATTTCAAAGCTGAAGGAAGGTTTCAGATATGGGTGAAATTGATGCTGGTTCTCTTGAAAAAGCGGCCTCTTTCTGTTGTTGCATACTCAAATAGGTGAGTCGTTTCATCCTTTTTCTCTGTTATACTGTGTATATTCAAAGCAAGGTTTCCATCTTTAAAACAAATATGTTTGATCGTTTTGACAACGGTTTGAAGGCGGAATGGAATTTCTCACTGGGAGCTGAAAAGACCTTGAAAGAAAATGGAACAATTTTCTAACGTTGAAAAGCCATTTCAACCAAAGACTCTCTTCCTGTCCCATATCTCTTTTCTCTCACCTTGATGTTTTGCAATTCAGACATTTCGTGGGAGTTTTCTTAGTTCTCCTTTTATTTTAGTCATTCTTCCGTCAGCGAAAGGGAACGCATATACAGTACAGTATATGATGTTATACGACTTCATCATTCTTCGACGGAAAATAATTCGCTCTTTGAATCTTTTATGGGTGCACTTTACATTTTAGCGAATTATAAGAGTTTGCTTTCGTAAAACCAAATGCGAGCTATTGGGTCGTAAAATACGAGGAAGGACTGGATATAAAAAGTAAATAGACTATATCAATGAAGAATAAACAACATTGATCAACATAAAGCGCCCAGCAGAAAAGGTACAAAATTAAGCGCTGCTGATAAGTTGAAAGATTTTCTCTTTTTGTTGTTATTAATTCATATAATTTTTAGTTATGCGAAAAAATGTACTTGTATACCAACTATGCTGCAGTTATAAGGACAGCATATACTCTTGATCATATTGTTTGAAACAGAAGAACATTGATTCTTCTCAATTTAAATGATTATATACATCATAGAAAAAGCGTAAGCAATATACTGTAACTGCTGCTTCTGACGCTGAATGTTTATTTATAAATACTGTCACTTCAAAAGCATATACAGTACAGTGCTGTATACTGATATACTGTATTAGGCAAATGCGAATACTAAACTTCATTCAAATTCGGTCGAATTGGTCATTTCACGCTGATATAGTAGCGCAGCAGCTCATAATTTATAAATTGTTCATGGTGGAATACCGTCCTATTCATTGTTAGAATACAATACTTGGCAGCATTATTTAAAAGTGGTATTGTATTTTTTTTAATCTTCTGATGGAGTGCTGCAGCGCGCGGCTGTGCAGATCAGTTTTGAGGCTGTATAAAATAAATGTTGGTCTCGTAGTTCTTCAACACAGTGAGTCGTGTTGCAAAACTTGAAATTTTACATGAATTCTGTTTTATTTAGACGAAATACTGTAAATCCCATTAAAAATGTTGGCAGTCCAATCGGAATTGATCCCGAGTGATGTGTACGACATCTAGTGAACAATAATCGAAACCGGTCTTCCTAGTTTGCCCGGTAGTATGCCAGTCATTTGTGAACGAACGCGGGCTTCTGATTCCGCCCTCGCGTTGTTCGTCGCGTGGGGTGACAACCGGAAGTCGGGAACTGGTCAATTGCCATTTTGTTAACCATTAAAGCTGGTGGACAATTGTACCGTTGACACGTGTCCTTACAGAGTCATTATGCCTGAGCTGTGAGCTTACGTGTGAGAATCCTTCTAAATTAGTCAAGTGTGAGATTTTCAGTTTCATGATGTGAATTCCATTCTGCGGACGTTTCGCGTGTTCTAATTAGTTAAACTACTGTACCTGAAATAATTAACCGAATACGCGGCAGAAATTCTGAAAATCTCTGGACTATGTGTCGACCGCGTAAGAATCCATTCGTGCGTTCATTTCCAAGTGATCCCAAGCGATGCGCTGGACACGACGGTGTTATTTAATATTTTTTTATTCCTTCGATGACACCCCCGCCTCATTTTCATCTCAACTGCGAATGGCTTCATACAATTCCCAGTGTATTCTGAGTCCTTTTTGATGAAATTCACTCGGTTCTTTCTTGCATTGCAGGTGATTTTGCTGAATTGATATATTTGTTATGAATAACGGAGATTATCTCCGCGCGCTGCTTGTTGATCTCTTCAAAAATCTTCAAACGGAGCATGCTGATATCCTCGCTGCGTTGCAGGAATGTTTGAAAGAACCGAATTGGGAAAAAGAAGTCGGCAATCCACGTCTGACGAGCAAATTGTTGAAGACAGCCATCCATAGATGTGGCCGGAGCGAGAGTCTACTCTTTGCCGTACTTGAACTGTTCAAGCAGTATGCTGAAAACATATCCAAATCGCTGAAGTTAGCAGTACTTTCCGATCTCGGATCAGTGTTGTTGCAAACATCGAATCCGAAATTGTGGATGAATTACGCTGCAGTGATGAAGATTTGGTGGGATGAAATTAAACTTCCTGATTTGGACACGAAAGACGACCTCGTGAAAGCGTATAAAGCTCTCGAAAATTTACTCAGTTGTGATGATATGGAGAATACGAAAGTCGGGGTTTCTCTGCTCCGAGAACTTCATTCGAAGTTTCCCGATGACGTTTCTCTTAAGGGAATGATTCTGAAAACTGTTCAATCCTCGACAGTGTTCAACAAGTTGTCTGGAAAAGCAAAAAAATTGTACGCTCCAGAAAGTGACCTAGAAGACATCGAGGCGATCGTCACAGTATGGAAGACGTTATTCGAAATCCTCGGAGAAGAAACACTGAATGCGAGGGTATCGAATCAGTTCCTATCTGTGATAGATTCCTTGAGATCAAGTCGATTGTTGAATCCAACTTTGGGCTGTCGAATTATGGGTGCCTACGTGGAGCTCAGTAGTGCAGAAACCTTGAATGAATCCAGACGACAAAAATTGTTGGGTGCAACTTTCAAGACGCTACGCCCACGAAATGAATTCGAAAACGAAGAATTCAAAAATTTGGTCGTTGCGGTGGGGAGAAAGACGTCGTTCGATGCTCTGGATGAAATTATCGTGCAATACCCTAAGGAATGGGCTGATTATGTTGCGAACTGGGCTCATTTGCACGCTCAGCGAATCTGTGAGAAAGCGTTTGGACCCATTGAATGGAATGAGTAAGCCTATTTCTTTTTATCTTGTTTAGTGCTCTTTTAAAATTGGTTTTGGAAGTATGTGCGATACTTGACCAAATCTCCATTTTCTTGGTTTTCTAAAATTGAATCTTTTTGTATTTTATTGTGACTGGCTTGGAGTAAGGTGTGATTTTACGTTTTTTTGGTAGCTCTCACAGAAGTGGGGCGAATTGTATAAATGAGGAATTTGGATGTTGTGCTATCTAATTGTGATAACTCTCCTATGCTTGCATTTATGAATTGTTAGATCAAGCGGTTCTTGTCGATTCACTTTTTTTTAATCCAAAAAATAAGTATTTGTTCCCCCTGTGTTATGAAGTGATCAAAAATGTCGACGAATCAACGCCCAGGTCAATTATTTTGGTAACTTCTGAATTATTTCGTATTTCTGGACTTGGAAATGCATTTGACGCGTGAAAGACTTTATTAATGATCAACTGTCTATTGTGTCTGGTCTATTTTACAGATTCGGGAAGCTTGGTCAGAAGAGCTCGGAGTCGGTGAAATTTGTGCACATGCTAAACCACGTTGTAGGTTCCGTCGATTTTGGGACGAAGAAACAAGGAGAACTGTACTTGTGGCTATTAGTCAAAGGCTGTGAATTGATTGCCTCAGAAAAATCCGTTGTTCCTATTGGGATGAAGCCAATTGGTACAATGGTGATTGTGTTACTCGTTCAAACCTTGGAGCTTGTCAAGGAGCACGTCGGAAGTGAAGACTATTCCGACGTGATGGCACCGTTGATCAGAGCATTCCCTCGGATGCCAAATCACTACGAACTACATGAATCCGAAGTGAGTTTTTCATTTGAAGTCTCTTTTAATTCTTTAAATTTCATGAATCAACAACTTGAAATTCATTTTCAATGAAAATGAACGTTTGTTCCATCCTCCGTGAAATTGACATTGTCGTAACTCGATATGTTCAAATCAATTACCTGTTTCAGTGGGAAGAAGTTCGTCGCTTGACAGAAAACATCGTTTCTTCCGGTGGCTTGAAAGCCCAAGAGAAGCAGGAATTGATGAAGACTTTGGGAAGTCTTCATTGTGCTGTGGATGATAATCATGATGAACCATTTACTGATAGTCTGCCAGAGGCCCCGAAAGCTGGAATGTTTGTACAAGTAAGATAAGATTTCGGCGCCTGAATGAATCTTTGTTTACGTTCGTTGTCAAATTCAGAAAAAGCTGAAATTCGGAGACGTGATAGCAGAGAAAGCTATTCCGACGGATTTGAAAAACAATGCTCCTGGTCTGTTGTTCGGTGACTCTCATCGAGAAATCGGTGGGAATGCTCATCGGGCTTCCAATAAAAAGGTTGGTTCAGATTCGTCAGGTTCGATGTGCAAATTATGTACACATGGCGTACATTTTCCTCATGATTGTAAATCTGATGCCTTAATGTTTAAAAATATTTTACTCGATCAAACCACGCTTCTCAATTGAGTTCGTTCTATGTGATTAAACTTTTTCTTTTGACTAATTGAGTCTGAACTTCATCGTAAATCAGTTTCTAGTTCCACGATTTTACCTTTTTTTTAAATCTTTTCTTGAAAGAATAATGTTTTCAGTATGATGTTGATAATTATTTCATTGTGAAAGCGAAGATGTTGATTTGAGCTGATGATGTTTTCCTGTGTTTTACGGAAAATCAAGTTGGAAGCATCTGATGCGGGAGTAAATGTGGGGCATATTTTATGATACAGTAGTCAGTAAGCTTTTGTCGGGTGTTGGTTTTAATTTATTGACTCGATATCCCCTTCGTTTCATTAGGAGGCAAAGGATGACTTCCCAAGTGAAGTCGGGCGTCTCAGTGTTCGGAAGGCTGCCGGGAAGATGGTGAAGAACACGGAAGAGGAGGTAAATTTTGCAGAATCTTCGAAATGCGAAGTAGTGTCAGAATAAAATTATCTCCATAAATTCATTAAAGTTTTTGTCTTTTGATAATCGTTCAATCGTGTGAACTCTTTTTGTCTTCTACTTTTTTGTGACCAAGACTTGGTCTCCCTAGCCCATCCTGTATTGTTGTGGACTCGTGCAATCAGGCGGTCGTGCCACCTTTGCTTAGTGTCACGAAATGTGCCAGGACATATAATAATGATAACAATTGGTCTAGGGGATTAGATACACATATATTCATATTCTGTTTACTGACTACTAAGAGATTGATTAACCTTCACTAGTCTTCTACCCTAACTCTCCCCCATTTTTTGAAGAGGAGTAACAAGGGAGGATAGTGAATTAAGGTGGTTGAAAAGAGTGGAGTTCCCAGGCGGGAAGCAGCAGTTGGGTAACGCCATCAGTACAGAGATAACGTTGGCGGGGGTAAGCTTCAAGAATAATGTATGGGCCCAGACGTTTGGGCAATAACCGGCGACCACGGGCATGGCGCATGGTGGATGGGCGCCGAGGACAATGCAGCACAGTCTGGCCATGGGTGAAAATCTTGGGGCGGTGACGGGCAGAGGCCTTTTGCCAGCTGGCAATGGCCCATGTGTTTGAAAATGCTTGTCAAGAGGCAAATGGATTGGGGTCCCAAAAAAATCAGCGGCAGGTACCGTGGCAGTGGTGGAATGAGCGCGAGCATTGTAACCTTGGAGAGCAGCAGGCAGATAAGATGGCCAATTATGATTCTGTGCCCCAAGTTTGGCCAAAATTTCCTGAAGAGTCCGCACCGAACGTTCCAAGCAACCATTGCCCTCAAAATGTCGAGCACCAGTAAGGGAGTGTTGCACATTTGTGTGGAGTAAGAAATTTTCAAGGAGTTGAGAACAAAACTGGGGACCAGGGTTAGAGAGAAGAATTTCAAAAGGTCCAAGTTGATGAAAGACAGAATGAAGGAAACGAATGATGCCAGAAGCAGTAGCGGAGTGTGAAGGCTGGGCAATAGCAAATTTGGAAAAATGGTCCACAGCAAGGAAGATGTACTTAAGTGCTCTAGCCTGTGGCATAGGCTCAACGTCAATGCACAGGATATGCCGTGGGTGTGTGGATTGGAGAGGTTGTAAGGCGGTGCCCACAGCAGTAGCAGGGGCATTGTACCGGATGCATGGCTTGCAGAAGCGGAACTGTTGAAAAACTGCTTGCTGCATCTGAGGCCAGAAAAAACGGCGACGGAGGGTGTGGAACACAGGTTTTCAGCCAGCATGACCCAGTTGTTGATGGCACTGATTCATAAGGCAGCTTTGCTGTTGGTGATGGAGGATGTTTTTTTTCGGGTGTTCTGTACAGCACAGAGCTGCAAGGAAGAATCAGTATGGTTGTGGTTTGGCAGGACTGATAAGGTGGCAGACCCATCCAAGGAGGGTAGGGTGGGGGGAGAGCCAACATTCTCCAAGGGTACTAAGGCCCGACTGAGGGCATCAGCAGCGCAGTTGGCAGTTCCCTTGATGTGCCGCAGGGTGTAATTGTAGCTGGCAAGTTGGAGGAGGAAGTAGACCATGCAACGGGATGGCTCCTTGAGTCGTAGTTCATGCAACAATGCTTGATGGTCTGTAGCCAGGGTGAAGGCACATCCCTCAAGGCAGGGGCAAAATTTGTCGGTAACTGCCCAGCAAATGGCCTAAAGCTCCCGCTCTGAATTGGAATAGCGGGTTTGGGCAGGTTGCAGGGTTTTGCTGGCATACTCCAGCACATGAAGATTGTTGGGGTCAGTACCCTGCAGCAACACTGCGCCAAGTGTAGTTTTGGAGGCATCACAGTGTACCTCAGTATACAAATAGGGGTCAAAACGACGGAGCATGGTGCTTGCAGTGATGGCTGCTTTGACTTGTTGAAATGCCTGGGTAGCATTGGTAGTCCAATGCAGGGGTTGGTTGGCCAGACGTGCGGTCTTGCGGAGACAACGTTCCAGTACAGCAAAGTTGGGGATATACTGATGGACATAAGAAGCCAGACCAATGAAGCGCAAGAAAGCTTGCAGGCTGATTGGCTGTGGAAACTCATGGATGGCCCTTACAGTTTCAGGGGCAGGTCGGCAAGAATACTTGTCAACAATGAATCCAAGAAATTCGACTTGTTTGGCAAGGAAATGACTTTTATCAAGGCTGATGGAGGCCCCAGCCTGTGCCAACTTTGTAAGGACTACCTCCAAGTTAGCCAGAAAGGCATCAAAAGTAGAGCCAAAGATGATTATATCATCAAGGTAGACCAGGCAGGCCTTCCTGGCAAGGTCACAAAGGATCAAGTGCAGTGCACGTTGGAAAACACAGGGGGAGTGCTTCATGCCGAAAGACAGCACGCAGAACTGAAATTGGCCCATGGGGGTGCTGAAGGCTGTTTTTTGCTTCCCAGCAGCACTGAGGGGGATATGATGATATCCCATGCGCAGATCAACAGTGGCAAAAAATCCGTTGGTGGAACCCAAGGCATCCAAAAGTTGTTGTACATCAAAAACTGGGAACATTAAATCCTCAGTGATGAGGTTGATGCAACAATAGTCACAGCACAGGCAGTATTGTTTGGAGGCTGTGGCAGTGGGAGAGGAGCCATGCTTCGGAACCAGAAAAGCTGGAGCAGAATGTGGGGAAGATGCTGGCTCAATGATGTGACGGCAAAGGTACTCATCAAGAATTCCCTTGAAGGACAGGTGGAGGCCAACTGGCTCATGGTACGGCTTAACCTGAACAGGGGCCGTGGAAGTGAGGGGAATGTCTTCAACAAAATTGTGAAAGAGGCCAAATTTGCCTGACCACTCAAACATGTTGTCTTTGAGTTTGAGGAGCAGTTGACGGACAGCAGCCTGCTGTTCCAGTGTACCAGCAGCAAAATGGATGCTGTCACCAAAAGCAAGAGACGGTGGTTTGGCAACAACTTGGACAGGTGGGCATCCCTCAAAAATTGGGCGTCCTGCATATTTGATGACAAGAGGGAGTTGCTGGAGAGCAGGTAGGCCCAGAATGATCATGGCATTTGGGGTTGCCATCACGGCAAAGGTGACAACCAGCTGATCTCCAAGCTCAGTCTGCAAGTTTGCTGTGATGGTCTCAGTGGTGGTGAAGGACATTCCATTGGCAAAGTGACTGTTCTGTGTGCACTTCATACAATGGGAACCTGCAGAAGCCCACTGCTGGGCAATGTGAGGTGGCACAGTGGACAAGGTAGCCTGTGTGTCCACATGAGCAGGGTAGCATTGGTTGTCAGGGCCAGTAAGTGGAATGGGGTGAATTGATGTACCAAGGTTGGACCCCATTAATCCAACCTGGTTTGGACTTTAGAGGACAGTCACTGGCACTGTGACCGGTTTGGAAGCACTGGAAACATTGCAGGCTGGTTTTATCTGTGGGACAGCCACCTTTGGTTTTTTGACAGCATTGAGCATCAGAATGTCCACAGGAGCCATGCATCTTGCAATGAAGCTGGTTGCAAGGAGTCCGGCTAGGGTGGATGGTTGGTAGCCAAGTAGGGGTGACCATCAGGTTGTTAGCCAGCTGCAGAGTTTCATCCCAGGAGAGAGTGCCTTGGTCAAGGATGTCAGACTTGAGACGGGTGGCAACATGGCTGGGAATTATGTCAGTGAGGCGTCCAATGACCAGGGCTGTTAGAATGGTGTCATGTTGCTGGAGGTTTTCAGGAGGGATGGGGAGGTAGCCCAAGAGTAAGCAGCGGAGGTCATGAGCAGCATCCATGATGGATGTGGTGGGAGTCATATGGTACTTGAAAAGTTGCTCGTAGTATTCAAAACGATTAGGAGCAAAGCATAGCTGGACATTTTGGAGCATGGTGTTGAGAGTGGTTGTACCTGCATTGAGTTGTGTAGAAATGAAACATGCAACTGGTGGTTGAGCTGCATTCATGAGGAGATTGATTGCATCCAGGTCTGTTGGTTGGCACAGCAGGAAATGGGCTTTGGCACATTCCAAAAAATCCTCGATAAGTTCCTCCAAGGGTTGTTTTGCAAGACAAAGCTCTACCCTGGCCATGCTGTGTTGGGGCTGAGCAACTGCAAGTGCATTAACAGGAGTCAGACCAGGTACCTGGGCCAGGAGGTTGAGTTTCTGCGCAAAAGTCATGTTGGCAGTATAACGGATGTGCTGGCCATCTAAAAAAAGGTTGATGCGGTCTTCTTCATGAAGGGCCCAGACTGAGGCCGGTGTGGTATGTGGCAGGAGTGTAGATGCATCTGGATCAGTCATGTCAAAGGCACAAAGACTGGCAATGAGGTCCTGTTTTCGGCCAGTGGGTGTGACATTGTAGCAACAAGCAATGTGTTGAAGTATGTTGAGTGTGAGCAGTTTGTAGCTCATGTAACGGTTAGAGGGATAACAGTCCAATTCGGACAAGCCCCCAATAATGATGACAATTGGTCTAGGGGATTAGATACACATATATTCATATTCTGTTTACTTACTACTAAGAGATTGATTAACCTTCACTAGTCTTCTACCCTAACTATATGATGGTACTAAATCAATGTTTGACTGTACAGTAGTGCGCTTCAGTACCGTCTTTACTCAAGTACCACGTGCACCTTAGTTTTTTTTCTTTCTGGAATTGTGGTGAAAATGTCACCCCACCCCCCTCACTATACAAGCATTTTACTTATTTTATTAAAATCAAATTTTTTGTAAAAAAAAAAAAAAACTGCTAATTGTTTTTTTGAAGTAAGATGCGCGTGGTACTTGTGTAAATGTAGTGAATACTTCTCAATATTTCTAAAATTATGCATGCGACGAATTTTTTTCTTTTATTGTTTTCTTGGCGGACCTCTAACCAATGTCGAACAAGCTATCCTTGAATTTCAGGATTTCGGTTTACAGTCCGTCGGGAATTAGTGTAAAGTATTTGTTTGTTTATTTCAGAACTTCGTTGTGATCAACACTCCTCTGAGAAATCGTCGAGGTCCTTTAACGGAGCATCAAAAAGAAGTTCTCTCAGCCAGAAAATGCGACATACCGGCGATGTATTGTGATTTGTCCCAGCAGTCAATGCAGCCGGGATATTTGGACTCTGACTCTGTGCAAGAAGGCGGTGACGCTAAAAAATCCGTATCCATGTCTGCTAAACCATTTGATGAGTTTGAGGACGAATATGCGAGGTCGAGTCCTCTTACGATACAAGCCAAACAGGAAGCGGATGCATCATTACCTGATGAAGCTTCAGACGGAGATGATTGTATTTTTGAGAAGGTTGTTATTGTTGAGAAGAAAGGGAAACAGTCGCGGAAGCCGGCAGAGCCGAAACGTTTCGACAGAGCAGCAAAGAAACGAAAATGTCCTTCAGTGAGTTTTGAATGATTATTTTTATTTCTGTGTGGGTCACGAGAAACAGTCTCATCTGTGGTGATTGTTCGACGAGTGGATGGTTTTCATCAGCTTACGTCCAAGTGACATATTGAAAGTTTTCCCCGTTCATATACTATGTAAATGCCTCCCTGAGGGTTGCGTCTTGTGGTAGATGAGTGAAATTAGGCGTTCCGATTGCTCATGCATCGTAATATTTCAATATTCGGCTTTTTTTTCTGGCCCACTGTGTGTATTGCCCTTAAGAATTGAGCGGAAAAAAGGGAGCGCAAGTTCGGCCGGGGGACTTGAAATTCCTGAATTCTGAGATGGCCGCGAGATTTCGTTTGGTAATTTTATTATGATTTGTTGGGAAGATTTTTGTAAAACCCTGGTTTGGTCACCTACTGAGTAGTATTTCTGCAACCTCTGCAATGATTTTCTTCGGATATCGAGTTTTTCTCGTCAACAAAAAAGTTCAATTCCGTCTAGTGTTTCGAACTGTGATAGAAGATAAGAGAAGCGTACGAAAGCTTCCATCGATACCTAACGAAATAATTACTCCGACGACACAGCTTGAATGGGCGAAAAGATACGTCAGTGTGTGTTGATCTTTGTTGTCTTTTCTGCTGTAGGAAAGAGTTCCATATTTTTTTTAACGCTGTTACGATTCATATTCTTTCATTCCAGGATTCCAGTCATTCCGCTGAAAAGGTCTCAAAGCTGAAACTGAAAATCGCCGTTTCTCAGCCCCTGCCATCAATGGATGAAGAGGATGTTGTGTTAGACTCCCAGGAAATCCTCAAGAGATCTCCGAAGAGGTCTTCAAGATCAATCCAACGGTTTAATTCTGACCCAGCCTGGGAGAAGCGAGCTCGCGCCGAGAAAACCGAAAAGATCAATTTTTGTGCCATTGAATCGAACGGTGCGAATCCATCCCCAGATCAACCCGTTGAAGAAGAGGAAAGTCCTAAGGAAAAAGAAGTTCCCGGCGAAGCATTGGAGGGCATATTGAAAAACGTAGAAAAAACTACCTCGAATCAGGTATGACCCGTTAAACCCAACTCCAGTGGATAGTTAATGGACTTAGTGTCTTCAAAAATTAATCGCTTTGGCTGAAAGCCCAATTTTGCTATTTTTCTTTTTTTTGGCCTGGAAAAAGTTGATTGGAACCGATGGCCCTTTTCGTTAAAGTTTAACGTTACAGTACTCTGTGTCCTTTCCATGGAATGTGCGTACTCCTGGACTGGAGAGAATCATGCCGATTAGCCGATGTACCACTGTACTTTTCCAAGGTCCTCTTCGCACCGATGAATGCTTCGATTGAATTGTACTTCTCGACACGTTTCTGATAATATTTTTTTCTTAGAACAAGAAAGGACGAGTGAGTTTCAACCCTGTTGTCGAGGAAGCCGTTTTTAAGCAGATTGCGTCGTCGGAATCTGCTCAATCAGTCGCCGAATCTCAAGAGAATGCATCAGGTGATCATGTGGAAAATCCGACAGTTGTTTACGAAGATACTCCAATCGAACCTTCGATCCAAGGGGAAGAGGACGAGATAGTAGATTCCACGTTGATCGATTCTGAGCAGTCAGTGACCAGTCTTCTGAAATTCCTGACACCTCCGACGTGGTGAGTTTTCTATGAATTTCGTATGATATATTTTTCTTTTGTGATAAGTACGATGAATTTCCATCGAATTTAAACTTATAGGAGAATTTCATTCCATTTTTACAGTAGAGGAAAAAGCTTGATTTCCGTTAGTTGAAAAAAAAGCTAGTAGGATACCAGAAGATAATGCAGCTTCATGCTCAAGCATGCCCTATCGAAACGCATTTTGGAAAGTCCGACTGATTCCCAACTTACGTTATTTACGCCACGGACGGGAATCTTGTCTGTTTTCGGTAATCTTCACGATATTGCGAGCATAAAAAAAAAATGTTGTGAAATCTCGTGCTATTCTTTGCTGATGGTCCTATTCCTAATCGACGTGTTTCGCCCTGAGACTTTTATGCAACTTCCCAAGGTTCTCAACCGAAACATTCAAAAAAAGCAAGTTTTCATGACCATTTTTCATCTCTTTCATGTGGCGAATCGCCGAAGATGTCATTCTCACCCAGAAATTACCGAATCAGAGTAGCCATTACTGCAAAAGTTAAACTATGAATATTTGTTACATTAATTTATTTTCTGACATGTCAAGATGCGTACGAAGTAAGACACGCACTCTGTTCTGCGGAAGTCTTTCAAATTCTGCTTTCCTGGTTCACATATTCCTGTTTTTCATCTTCACCTGCGTGGAAAGGGGTCAAGTTTAAATAAATGTACAGTATGCAGTTTTTCTGGAAGTTGAGCTTCATCCGAACAAAAATTGCAATTCAAAAATTCGTTCGACTTCTGGGAAACCTCCTCGTCGTGCAATTCAGAATGCTTTAGTTAAATCATGACAGAATTCGAGAAGAACTGCCATCAGAAATGCTTTAAGATGTCAAATTGCGTCCTGTTTGTCCATTTGCACTCTCAACTCAGAATGTATTCTCAATATCTGAACATTTTGTTTTAAGTTGACTAAGTTCTATTGATGTTTGCAGGGTGGAGACATTTGGCGATAAGCTCGACGACATGGGCGTGAAGACGATAGGAGACTTCTGCGCTCTGAAGAAATTCCAGCTAAAATCTCTACCGATTGCTGGAAAAACGGCCGGAGTGCTCACCACCGTTCGAGAAGGAATACGAAAATGGAAACTGGCTTTGGAACAAGAACAGGAAGAAGCCGACTTCGACATTCCAGATCCTCCGAAGCTAAGCTCAACCTCGTCCGTCGAATCCATGGAAGTTGTTGAAGAAAAATCGGATCACGAATCTTCGGTTGCTAATGAAAAGAGGCCAGAAAGTGCATTCGTTGAGTCCTTGGTCCAACTGGCTGAGGCGAAAGATATGATACGGCCTATTGATGCGGCTGTTGAGCTTTATCAGAAATTGAAAGACGTCGATGATTGTTGGAGAATATTTTCGTATCTCGGCACTTTCCAGTCGAAACTCGCTGAAATGGCGATTTCTAAAAAAAATTGATTCGTCCCTGGTTTCGAACTGACCTGGTTCGCATGAAAGTATTTTCCTCGTTTTATACTTGAGTTGAAGAGTCAGTGCGTTGAATTACGTTAAGTTTTGAAGTGAGCTTCTTTTGAAATCGTGTGTTTGGTCTCCCGTGAGATTTTGATCAACTTCGATGATTTTTTTTTAAATAAAGTATTCGGAATTATTCTTGTTTATTTATTAAATACCAGTGATGACTGCATAGTGAGCAACATGCTTGCTTGCTGTTGATGATCGACCTCGTATACTGTAAATGGAAATGCTTTAAAGTGATGTGCATTTTCTATTCTCCTCACATCTTGATTATGTCGCATTTTCAAAGGAGACTTTCTTTCATGTTGAGATGCTAGCAGGAGAGCTTTCTACCTAAAAATTTTATTCTGACGCAAAATTTTACCCCAACAGAACAGTGGATATCGAAGTCATGGAAAGATGGTACGATACAGTACTGTACGTGGGAACCAATTCATTGGTAGTTTTGTATAGTCATCAACGTTACTTTTCATTCTGCTCTTCCGACAATACTGGGAGATAATCACGTTGAACTTGGCCCTGGAAAGCATCCCAGTTATGAACCCAGAATTTTGAAATTTGCGTGGATGGTAGGCAGGAGGGTGTAGATTATAGAAGTAAAGACAGCTAATACATAGGTTCAACCTTTGGAAAATTATAAAAAAAATATAAAAATTATTCTCGATTCCTTACATCACAGGAAGTCCTGTTTCACAAGCTCTGTACATCTTGGTCTTCCATCGTCAATTTTTATTCATTTATATAGCTACATTTTTCAGCTACTGTATAAAGCAAAAAAAATCATTCAGATTATCTTTCCAGAGGTACGAGGACTGCGCACAGGAAAAGCCCCGTAGATAACGTCGACATTTGGGCGCTCTGTGCGGAATTGCTCCGCTCTGTGCGGTGATATTCCGGAACCGGAGAAGTTGACGTGGCGGAGGTTCGGAGCATATTCTTCTGCTAGCAAAGTGCAACACTCGTCGTCGAAACCGCGGCACCCTGCAACCGACACCGTGTTCGTTTTGCGGAAAATCTGCATGCCAGAAAACATGTTGTGAGCGCAGCATTTCCTTTTACATACAGTACCACCATACAGGATACAGTCAACCCCCGTCTAATGGACTTTATTCGTTCAATGGGCTAGTCTTTGTTAGACAAAAAGTCCTTTACACAAATTCAATTACAGTATATTAAAAATTCCAATTTTCAACACTAATTTTAAACCAAAAGAAGTCTGTTTGGTGGATTTTGTCTGTTTGGCAGGAGGAAAAACTGCCTGCAGAGCTGGTCTGTTTGGCAAAAATCCCTTGCACAGGAGGTCTGTTAGGCAGGGGCCACTGTATTTGCCAGGTCTATGCATGTGCTGTGTCTGCATGTTCTGCAGTACTAAAATACATCCACAGACCGCGCAGACGACGCAATAAGTGACCCAATTTTTTTTTAGTTTCGAACGGGAATGTGGGATCTGTGCATGGTGCATATGATTTTGCTTCATGCATAGCCGATGAGGAATGCCAAACATTCGCAGCGAGTCGAGTGCCGACAAATTTTTCATTCGGATATTCGAGAATATAATGCTATTTCTGTAGAATTCGCGGTAATGAAGGATAAAAATTATTCCTGAAATCTATATGTGTGCGCTATAGATACTTGTGTATACAGTAGTAGTCGTCCAAATATTGGCAATGATTGAGACATTGAGTACAGTACTGTACTGTATAATGCCTGGTAAATATCTATATCACGTACGACTTTTTTTCTTTCGAATAATTTCTTCTGAAAATGCTCACTAAACTCGGACAATTTTGCGTGCTATTATTAAGATACTGTCGCACGTTTCTTATTGCGTTAAGTATTTCTTATTGAAGCCTATGAAAAGACGCACGAGGTGCTGCTCCGTTTATAGGAGAGATTAAGCAGCATCAAAATCCGCCATTCAAGAAAATGAGTCATTAGTTAAAAAATTATTCATTCTTATTCGATTCAAATAAATTTGAGGATTCTCATCGTAGTTGTGTTGCTGAATTGATTTGATGCATTTCATATATAGTATAGCGCAAGGAAATAATCGGTGGCGGTGAGCTTTATATACTGTATACTGTATATTCAGATGAATATACAGCAAGTAGCTTATTTTATAGACATATGCATGTGTATAATTATGAATATCATAATACTGATGTAAAATTTAAATTTTGTTGGACAGATAAAGTTTTGCTTACACTAAACGCCCTCATTCCAAACGTACAGTATGTGACGGCAATCCTGCACACATCAGTGTACAGTATTAGTGGATTATTGGCTCATATATACAATATATGAGTAAGTTAAATTGAGCACACCTGTATTATTAGTATACTGTATTACGGTACAGTACTTTAATAAAGTCTTATATACGGTATTATGCAGTTTCATATGCTTCAAAAAGCTTTACAAATTAGAATTCTGTAAAAAATGTTCTGTGGAATTGCTCATCTTTCCTTTTTCCTGATGTTTTCACTGGTATGGTACGATATTAGTGTTATGCAATTTTGTTTTTACTGATAAAGGTAAAATCTTGTTCAAAAAGTCAGGTAATTCATAAAAAGCTGAAGAAACTTTCTTTATTAAAAATCATGCTTTACTGCAGGAACATTAAAGGAATGCTTTATTTTATGGCAAGATCTGTTCCAAAAAGTTCTTACATATATTTTCAGTTTCACGGCCTCTCTATGAATCAAGTGATGAATGTACTTTTCTGAGTTATTTCCCTGATATAAAAGCGCCATATAAACGTTTCCTTTGAATATTTTGACCCTTATATATATTGAGGAAAACTTTCAGCACCTTCCACAAAGATAATTTTGATTCCTTTTTTCACTTTTAGTGCATTTATGGTGATACTGATGTATGTACACCAGTACAGTATTTACTGTATTTGTATTATAATAATTATTTTTATAATGACGTTTTTATAACTTCATTTTATCCGTTCCTGCTCGGATGCTCACCATTATTTCTGTGAAACCAAAAGATGTGGATCTCAACTTATTTCCCCCGGATAAAGTTAAAATGACAGACAGCAATTCTATCCTCACATCACATCGAATACCTGGTGAGGAACTGGAAGTTCCAGCGGCTTTTCGTTTTCTTCCAACAACCAAGGACTCCCGCCGCAAACGTACTCGTGGAAGTAACACTTGATGGGGTAAAACACTCCCAGAGCCATGAGAACGTCGTTCTCGCACTCCTCGGCGTAAAAGTACTCCAGGTTCCTCGGGTACCCCGCGGAGCAGTACATGCTGTAGATCCCGCGCGCAACACTTTCGCGCTCTGCTGCGCAACGTGACAAGTCCAGGACCCTCAAACTGGAAAAAGTATGCAGTACAGTACTGTACGCCACTCTAACGAACATGGCTTGTCACATCATCAGAGACGTCATCGCTTATATCGAAAAAATGGAACTCAATTTGAAGAAGAGTATAAACCTGTAATTCAATGTATTTTTAAATAGTGTGAGCAAAAATACATATTTAATCCCAATATCGTCAATCGTACATGATGCTTGCTCATCCGAAATATGATTAAATTTTGAAGTTATATAGGACATCCCCAATTTTTCAAGCGTCATTTATGGATTATCTGAATAATCTTTGTGAACAAATTCGGCTTTCCATATTTTAAAGATTTGCTTCTAACGTAGAATTTTTCCTGGTGTTAGCGTCCCCCACCCCGTCAAAATATATGCATAGCAGCCATAACTTTTGCCAATGGAATCAACTTAAAATTGATTTGGGAGCTTCTAATTTGCCATTTACTTTTATAGTTGGGCCTCTTGTCAAAAAATGGTAGTACAGGTATAAAGACCCTCTGTAAAATTTTATATTCCACAATAATGCTTCCTGTAGAATGAATTGGTTAGTCTCATAGAGTTCTCCAACGGTTCTCTAATTGTACTGCATGGCTATCTACATTCTACACCTTTTTACAACAATTCTCCTCTGGTTTATCTGATTTTTGTTTAGTACTGTATATTAGTCAACCTGTGATATAACCATTGTGATATAATGGTTCTTGAAACAAAAGTCTCTCTTTGACCATATATTTTCAGGTCCCTGACTTTATTTCTAGAGAAATTCCATCACCTGCCTAGATTTTGATAAGAGAACGCTCCAAGAAATTTTGGTCCACCCTCATTTGAAATGAGTTTTTCTGAGATGATAAGCATAGCAAAAAGATAAATCACAGACTCGGTGGTTGTTTTTCATGTTGTTGTTGTTCGAGTTGAATTATTACCTGGAAAAGTCTCTCCAAAAATGCACCCTGTGCAGAACCGAATCACGGGCAAAGAGGGTGTTTATCAAAGGCGTGAGTCGCGCCCAAGTTTTAAAATCCACGTGACGGTGCTTGAGCTTCAGTGTGCCCAGCTTCCAAGCGGGAGAAGGCAACGATAGAGGGCGTCGCCTGCAACTTGCCACCCAACATGGCGGGGCCTTGAGCGTCAGATACTTACGCACACCCGCGCTGGCGCGATTGCTCTCTATGTGCACAGAGAAACCCTCTCGGGTCTTGTGACGGAACATGGCATCGAGAAAGAACTCCAACTTGCCCGGAATGAATTTGCCTTGCGGCGCTCGGACTGTGACGTGTTTTACGTGTTGCGAGATAACAGCGAAGAATTGCTCAGCCCGGAGGTTTTCTATGCACGCGTTGGAAATAATGATGTTTTCCCAGAGTTGCGGTGAGCTGGACCATGTGACGTTGTGCGCGGGAAATGCGTTGATGAATGCCAAGGCGTCGTGAAGTGGAAGCTTGTCGAATACTGCAACGATCGTCTTGAAAGGCATGGAATCGAATCGCGTTGGTGGATGCTGGGGGTGAGTGTTTGCGCAAGTATCTGTGCTTTCCGGATTGTCTCCGTGCTGATGCTCTGTTGACAGCACAAGTCCCGTCATGTTTCTTCACTTAACAGCGTTTTTACGACACGTAACACTGGATGCAAATCAGATCACTTGGAAGTGCGAGGTTCATTTTTGGTCGAATCCACATCATAGTTATAATAGACTGTGAGGCGAAGCGCGAAGAATACCATTGTCCGTATCGTCTCATTGTTGACACTCCCGAACTTTCCTATGATCTTATTTTTTCATCACTTTGAAACGCCGCGATGTTTTCGTCCGGAATAAATCGACGATTTCTTTGCGGAACTTCTCTTCCTGAGGAAAACAGAAAATAAGAAATAAGATTATCCTGTACAATATATTGGATGAGTTTTGAACGCGTGAAGAAATTCCCCGAACTGACAGTCAAATCTTGATGAGAAACTGTAAGTTATTTGGTGATTTTTTGGCTATGAAAATATTTTCGGCCATTTCGGGTTATGGAAATTTATAAAAAACGACGTGAATAAATAAAGGCACGAATAATGTTAGGGGCACAACCCAATGGCCACCGCTGACTTGACTCTCTGTATTCTGTATAGATGTTTTAGAATACAGTATTGTATAGTACTTTGCTTGAAAATATGTGTTGCTTCCATTGAGTTCTGTACAATTGTATTTCTCTCTTTATTTTCAGTTAATTTCCTGATGTTTATCTTATTGTGTTGCTTCAACACGATTCATCTTTGTATTGGATGTTTGTCCAGAGATTTTCGTGATCGCCACAAAAAAAGGTTCACACATCACGTTGAATTTAAGATACTTTACTATGTGCAGTAAAAATTACCAATACTCTGTCGAAGTGAAAGAGAAAATTGCTGCAAGTTGTTCAAAATACTTTGGCTATACCGAATCACTTTTCAAGCAAACGAAAAGAGCAGTGCATATCATTGCCGTTTTATTATCGTTTCAAGAATGCAAAGGGCTAGCTGTTCTGTTCTTGTTTTCGTCCGGAATAAATCGACGATTTCTTTGCGGAACTTCTCTTCCTGAGGAAAACAGAAAATAAGAAATAAGATTATCCTGTACAATATATTGGATGAGTTTTGAACGCGTGAAGAAATTCCCCGAACTGACAGTCAAATCTTGATGAGAAACTGTAAGTTATTTGGTGATTTTTTGGCTATGAAAATATTTTCGGCCATATCGGGTAATGGAAATTTATCATAAATGACGTGAATAAGTAAAGGCACGAATAATGTTAGGGGCACAACCCAATGGCCACCGCTGACTTGACTCTCTGTATTCTTTATATATGTTTTAGAATACAGTATTGTACAGTACTTTGCTTGAAAATATGTGTTGCTTCCATTGAGTTCTGTGCAATTTTATTTCTCTCTTTATTTTCAGTTAATTTCCTGATGTTTATCTTATTGTGTTGCTTCAGCACGATTCATCTTTGTATTGGATGTTTGTCTAGAGATGTTCGTGATCGCCACAAGAAAAAGGTTCACACATCACGTTGAATTTCAGATACTTTACTATGTGCAGTAAAAATTACCAATACTCTGTCGACGTGAAAGAGAAAATTGCTGCAAGTTGTTCAAAATACTTTGGCTATACCGAATCACTTTTCAAGCAAACGAAAAGAGCAGTGCATATCATTGCCGTTTTATTATAGTTTCAAGAATGCGAAGGGCTAGCTGTTCTGTTCTACTGGCGTACATGTAGATGCTGTATTATGTTTTAAGCAAACAAAGGTTCAGCTCATTATTGAGTATCAGTTTGAATGGTGTTCATTTGACACACTTATCGCATCCCGTGATACATTTTAGAATATAATGTCGTGGAACATGAATTACGAGCTATATGATCACAATTATAGTATTCGCCAAGAAATACACTTCGCTGGAAACCGTGAGGATGATTCACATGTGTGCTCTGGAGAGAAGAAATACTGTAAGAAAAACGGGCAAAAGTTGGTTATGAGCAAATTATTCCGCATCTATCCGTACCACGCGAAAGCCACACATTGGCGACACTGCATATTATTATTGTGCAAAATTCGGAACGCACGTCGATGCAAAAACGAGGCATGCCTGATGTACGAGGGTTCTAACAAAGTTCTCGGAATATAAAAAAATGGCGTCTAATTGAGCTGAAAAAAATTATTCTTTAGGGAAAACATATTCTTTGGCACAAAAAATCAGCCCTGTTTGACAATTTTTTTTAATGTTTTGCACCCTCTGCACCCTGGCAGAGTTTTGCTCTCCACTCAAAAAATGATGCACCCTTCCTGCAGATTTTGTTGTTGTAGCCCAGCTTTCCCCTCAGAATTCTAGAAATCAACGTGGCATTAATTCCAAGGGTTGCCTCCAGGTCTTTCAATGTAATTCCGCCATTTTCACCAACAGCCATCATCATGATGAAAATGGCAAAATTACCTTGAAAGACCTGAGGCAACCCTTGGAGTTAATGCCTTGTTGATTTCAAGAATTCTGAGGGAAAAGCTGGGCTAAAAAAAAAAAAAACACAACTGCAGGAAGGGCGCCTCATCTTTTGAGTTGAGAGCAAAACTCTGCCAGGGTGAATAGGGTGCAAAACATTAAAAAAATTTGTCAAACAGGGCTGATTTTTTTGTGCCAAAGAATATGTTTTCCCCAAAGAATAATTTTTTTCATCTCGGTTAGATGCCATTTATATTTCTACTCCGAAAACTTTTGTTAGAACCCTCATATAAAGTTTGCAGTAATTTAATTTTGTATGAAAGTAAATTTTTTGAAGTCGCAGCAGCATTTTTGAGAAAAGTTAAGTAATTTTCCGAAGATTCTAGAATTCATATTGCTTCATCGCTAATTCATGTTCAAGGATGAGTGTTGAACTCTAATTTGAATTTGAAATGCAGATTTGAACGCAGTTCCAGAAGGAAAATCTTACTACGAAGAATTTAAATGCGAAATTGGAAAATGTACCCCGATCGCAAATATTTCGCGGGCATTTGAAGTGCGTTCGTGCTTCTAAAGCTGACAAATTTCATCCAATGAAAAAGACACGTTCTTCCGCTATCATTTGCGTATAGTGAATCAATGAATGTCGTGAAAGACTGTACAAAAGTAAAAATTGATTTTTTTAAATCCCCATTCATCATTGCAAAAAAATGCAATTTGACGAGAGAAAAAATTCAATTGCGTTTCTGCTGGCATTCCAGAAATTTGTTGGTTTTTTTTAAACTTATGAAATCTCTTGAATGTTCAATGTCAGGGAAAGTTTTGGTGTGTGTGGTAATTTTGTGCAAACGCTGATTCTGAACTTCAAATAGAAAATACTGTAAAAATTGTTCATACTGTATTATTTTCTCTGATTGTTGGTTATTTAGACTGCTGAAGCCTGAAGGGCCACACCTTGACACATACAAGTCTTACGAACGATACCTTCTTGAAGCGATACATTTTTGTTTTAAATAAAGTAATGAGGGAAACTTTATGCTGATACTGTATAAGTGCATCATATTGCTTTTATCCCAAAGATTAAGATACAACACGATTTATTCATGGGTCTCCACATAATTCCTGTATAAAAATAATCTCATGGTTTCACGCAACCTTCGTATGCGGGCTCGTCAAGATAATTCCCATTCCTCTGATTTAAGAGCAATCAATACACTTGAGGTAAGATTTCATGTTTTTTTTATTTGGAAAGGTTCTACCCGACACTTACGTACATTTTAAAATTTTCAGTCAAAATTTTAATGTTTCCTCAAATGTTCATGCTTATAACTTCCAGCTGGTCTGAAAGGCCTATTCTTTTTTTGTGCTCCATCTCATAAAAACTCCAAGCATATTTTAAAGCAATGCCCTTCACCAAAGGGTTATGAAGTGTCGATTATTTCTTTGTGCTCCCCTCAAATTATGCGTCTGGTTCGACGGATATGTGCGTGCAGAAAGTGACTAAGCTCCGTTAAATAATCATTTTGAGGAGAAAATTGCGGAAGGAAAATTATGCTGTACTTCATGGGTTGAAAAAAAGCATTCATTTCAAACTAAGACCGAAGTAAATGAGCAATAATCCGGGAATTAATATTCATTTGGTCGATCGCAGGGTGTTTCACAACTTTCACCCACAGAATTACGGTATTGTGTGGATTTTTCAACAGTTAATCGCTACTTGTTTTGTACTTTACATTTCTGTGTCTTTGATTTAACAAACTGAGGTATTTCCTTCTTTGGCCTTGGTTAGTTCTTTCGCTGCCTGAAACAACGATGAATGATCGTGGTCAGACAATTTTTCCAAGTTCACAAGAATTACCATATTTATCGTTGATATTTTACGATATTTAAGGTTGCGTGAAACCATGGGATTAGTTTTATACAGGAATCACTGTAAATGAAACTTTCTCACGTGTTCAAACTATTGAAGGAGATACCAAACAGCTCGCAATTGAACTCGAAGTAAACGAAGAAGTGACCGTAATCCGTTAAACCGAGCAAGATACGATGCATTCAAAACCGTACCTAACTTTTTTATTCCCTCAAATTAAAACTGAGTTTTTGCGACTCCAACGACATGCACTCTCACTTGCCTCACATATTGTCACTCACGTCGAGAACTCTATTGAAAAATTTGTAACATCAAGTCCACCAGCATTGACAAATTCAAATAAACTGCAGTATGGTACTATCTTCTAGTAAAATTCTTCGCGGGGGCATCCTGTTGACTATATTTTCTCTTGATGAGAGAAATTTCCCGTGCAAGCAGAAATGGTTGATTTTTTAAATGTAATATTACGAAGACCCACGCAGAGGAAAACAATTTTGAAGATGCTCTCCGATGCTTTCAATTTTGGTTGTAACTTTTTTTTTATAATAAAGTATTCCTCATGGACGAAAAATACGGTGAAATTTCAATTATGTGAGGAAATCGCGGTAATTTTTGTGCTTTTTCATGAAGTATAAAAATAATACTGTATAGACTTCGTAGACGAATAGTTAAAGAGACCAATCCTGAGTGTCCCCGCTAAATCTCATGTTCACTTGAAGAGACGACGTTAAAAGACAAGAATTGGTGATGCCGTACTCCACTTGATGAGCAAAATAATAGGGAGACATTTCTGGAAAATAAACTCGTCCGAATTTTCAATGTGTAACTGATCACTTTTTATCTGCGTTATACTCTGAAAATACTTATTCTGTTCTCTTCTGTTTCTGCTTCTGTTATTCGCGAAGTATTAAGCAATATTTTGATGGGAATCGCGTATCCTGAAAGAAAACCAACCTGAGGGAAATCTTCGCCGCGTAGTTCCAAAATAAACAGAAGTTGATCAGGTAGGACTCGTACCTAGGAATGACGACGTGTCGACGATTCGCGTAAATGTGATATTTTCGTCGCGTCTTTCTTCGAAGAATTCGATCAGCAGGGTCGTCAAATAAATTCAGTATTTTTCGTCAAGTCAGTTTTGTGAAAAAAATCACTGTAAGTAAAACTAAACAGCCCTGTTGACGCTGATCCAAATCAATAAGTTCGGCGATTCGAAACTACTTTATTGTACAGTACCTGTAGTATGTACTGTATTGCAATGCTCAAAAATCAACCATTAGGAATCAAAGATGTTTTTGAGAAAATCGCCGAGTTTTCGGATGCATCGCGTCCGTAATGGATTCAAATGTACTGTATTGTACTGCAGTATTGTAATGTACTGTAAAAATGAGACGGCATATCCAGCATTTACACTGACGTAGGACCATAGAAATTGTCATAGTGCACTCTGCTTTTTTCTTATAACAAACTAATCATCTTCGGGAAAATTCAGAAAATTCTGCGACTTTATGCGGCTGTCAGCATTTTCAAGAGCTATAGCTGATTGATTGATTGATGTGCAGTACGAGCTTTTTTGCCGCTCGTCAGCGTTAAAACGGTTCAAACATTTTTATTGTATAGTGTAAATTCGTGTGGGACATAACGTACCTCATATAACACGTGCCTAACGCAAGAAACCTTCTTTCTATGTACAGTATAAAATTCAGGCCATTTCATATGCGACTCCACATATATTCATGAGTGAAGCATGTTATATTCCTGGCGAAAGAAACGCTTGAAACTCAGCAGTAGAATTTGTCCTTTTCTTAAAGAGATCGTAAGTCTTCAAAAGCATTAAATGACACACGCGCAGGTGGACGCTCTCTCTCTTCTCAAAATCTTGACAATTTTTTCTTCTAATATAAATTTTGTGGTTGTTGGTACAGTATCATTAGGTTCTATATCTCGATGTTATATACTGTATAGGGGTTGTCTCTCTACAACAAATTATTTCTGGTCCCTTGAATTTCTTTGCTGAGATAGTCCACCTATCGAAACTGTCAATTGAATTCATAGTAATCGATATATACGCAATAAAATCACACATGAAATGGGGTTTCGTAGACAGTACCACACACTATGCAATGTCAGCCGGCGCTTATTCATGCTAGCCACGTATATTCATATACCTTCACTGAACTGTGATCGACCGAGTTTGATTCCTCCCCCAGCACTGCAGAACTTATTGGGGCTATGTTCTCATTTGCGTATGCTCAGATTCAGCGAACCACAAAAAGGGGCGGGTCGTCTCTGCTGCACCCGACATCCTTCGTCGGCTGCTGGCAGTCGAAGTATATTCGGTGGCACCATGCACCAGTTTTAGTTGGCACAACTTTTTGCCAACTTGATTTTTGCCGAGGAAGAACGTTCAATTCCACGCTGTCTATGGTTGATATCTTAACGGTGAAATCCATACTAGTTTCGAATCATAGAGTTTTACACGAGTAAGCAATTGAGTTGATTTGCGTGACTTGCAATTGTATATAGCATCGAGGGAATGCGCTATTCGAAGTCTTTTACCCCTGATTTTTGTTTACACGCTGATTCCACGCGATTAGCATTCATTACAATTTAATTAATTTACCAGCATATCATTATGATGATCAAATCCCGTATCTAAAATATACGAGTTAACTGAATAAAGTGGGTTTGTCGCCGAAAGAATCTTTGCTGGTGTCATATTTATGATCCTATTCCGTCATTAGATTCCAGGTCATTACTATACTTGATGGATGATATAGTGTACTTATAATGGATTGGTAAACCGGATTTTTCAAGGTTTCAATAGAGAATATAACTCCTATGAACCAGCAGACTCCAATTGACTGTGCTTTTGGTTAAATTTGATAGAAATTTATTGTAAGCAGACAAAGCAGTAAATATAAATTTTACATGAACGGCTTTTTAGTAATAAATTTCATAAATAAATACTGATATTTATTGAACAAAAAATGAATGCATAAAATATTTATTTATATTCACCTCTTGTTTCCACACAATCAATTGCCTGCAAATGTAACTGTTGAACTCAGCAACTGTAGTATAGACACATGCTTAGATGCCATGATTTGTTCTGTGAAGTTTTGCTGCTGCTAGTGGTTACAAAGAGGTTTTTGATGTAGAGATTTATCAAAAATTAAAATATTGACCGTTGCCTCGAAATTTTTCAACTCTCACAAAATAATAGCATAACATTCCTGATTCGCCCCATCAGACCTCCGTAATTAATATTTTCTGGAAGCCTTTGAGCTATCAATTTGAGGAGCCTAGCAGGCAAGAGAAACACAATAACGAATATAACTTGATGCTTTCTAGAAGTAAATGATTGACTTAGTTGGGCAAATGAACATTTGCTTTCTCCAAGTTTAGCATCAATAGCACTCATTCACCAAGCAGTCAAAAATAACACACAGTCACCATTTTTACCTTCTAATTCTTCATTTCCCCCACAAAAATGCTAGTTCCCCTATAACTTGAAAACTCCCTGAGCTGAATTTTTGCTGGTCCCTTAGAATTTGACTTGAAGAGGTGCAACTGTAGTATTCTCTTAATACATGTTGAAGTTCAATAACTGCCTGAACCTCCCTAAATCAAAAATCTCTCTAACTCAATTTTTTCGGTCCCCAATATGCATCTTCAGCCCTATAGTTTCCCTAACTTCCCTAATTTTGAAACCACTGAAGTAAAACATTCTTTGGTCCCTCCAAATTCGACTTGGATGGGTCAAACATGTAATCTAAGTTTAATTTTTCCAACTGTATGAAAAATAAATAATGATAAAGTTATATCCAGCAGATAACGCCTCCTTAATTGATGGTACAGTACATTTAAAAATACAATACAAGAATGAATTGATTCATAGCTCGAATGAAATCATGTTTCAAACAAGTCGAAATTTTTTCAATTATGTCACCGTAGAAGCCAAATCCTGTAACAAAAGGATTTTGAATTATTCCATATGCAGTGAGGAAATTTTTTTTTTCTTACCAATAAACGATGCATCATGAACTATGAACAAACAGTATTTCTTTTTTAGATGATGTCGTCGAAGATAGTGGCAGTACAATTACATGACGGATGCTTGAGGACAAAACAAATGCTGAAGAGAGGCAGAATATCAAATGGCGAGGCATTGAAGGCTCATATGAACTTCTGATTTTTTCGGGACATTTAGCGGTGAGTCATTCCTGAAAATTGAATTTTTTTTTTAAATTCAAATTTCCAACACTAGCTATTTGCGTTAATCCAAGTACTGAAAGTATAAGATCGTAGCTGTTCCGGACTGCTATACATTTATATAGAACAGGCATGTTCATATCATTTCCCAAGATAATCTGGTTTTCCTGAATTCCATGTCTGAACCTTTATCTAAGACGAATGAATAATTTTCTACAAGTCTCATTAAATATCTAGAGCTGCATGGTACATTTATTCTGTTTCGCAAACTCTTATAATACAAATAAAATGTGGAACATACACAGACACGATTGAAATGTTTGGAATGATCTTAATTCACAACTGTCATGGATGCCCTCTAGGCAAGTGTATTTAGTAAATAACGAAGCTCACGGGAGAACATGTGTGACACGGCGAACCTTTCATAATCACGTTTCCATTCTAGTTATGCATGCGGCGATTAAATTTGTTTCTGTGTCAGTGATCGGGGCTTCAGCGATGATTGCATACTGGCTCAGTTTCGGCGATGAAGGCACTGGGACGCAGGAATGTCGGCACACCGTGGAAATTCTAGGAATTTCAGCTTTATCAACATTTGTGTGGGAATCAATATTCGACGGAAATCTCACACGCGTTGATGATACATGGCTTCGCGGAGAAATGATGATGCCGCCTTGGAAGCTTGTTTTCAAGACTGGACCTGCTATTAGTAATGGAATGGTCTCTGTGGAACAAAGCTGTGTCATCTTGATTTTGAATGGTCGCACTCGTCCCAAAGCCGAAGATGCCCTACGATGGATTAGTCGGATATCAGAATTGAAACTTGAGTACATTGCTGTTATTCTACTGGGTTCCGAGGATTGCGACAATGGGTGGTTAACAAGACGACTCCGGATAAATGGAGGGATGTTGGATGATATTTTTGTCATTTACGATAGTCTCGAAATCGACGACGAACATGTTTTCCGTTGGCCCCTTGGCACGGCAACGTAAGTAAACAATCTGACGTATGGCAAATTTGTTTAGTANTCATGAATTTTGTTATTTCAGGAGTACAAGGATTACAGGTGGAAGAGCTTTGGAGTTTGGAAAAAGAAGATTTCGATCAAATCAAGTACTGTATACCTATCTTGAAGTTAGTTAATTCTTGATGAGCTTTCAAAATTGTATTTTTGTTTAGGCCCATTCATGGCTTAGTTTTCTTATATAAATGGAATCCAGGAAGCAAAACCAGTGGATCTGTTGTGAGTGATTCTCGTTTGGAAAGCATATATTTCGCTAAGCAGGTACTTTGTCCTTTAAATTCAAGTTGATGCTGTCCTTTAATAATCGAAATGCATTTCAGGTCATACAAAATGCCTGCGCCACTCAAGCTCTTTTGAGCATTTTGTTGAATGTTCCAAATTTGGAACTGGGAACTGCTTTGACGGAATTCAAAGAATTTTCTGCGTCATTAGACCCAGCAATGCGTGGATTGGCGTTGTCAAATTGTGAAAATATTCGGAAGACCCACAACTCGTTCGCTAGGTGAAGCATGATTATTTTATTGTACAGTACAATAGAAATGCGAGTGTCCAGGCGTATTAACGGTCGCCTCTGTTCAGTAAATTATTTACCGTATCAAGAATCAGCAAATTTTAAAATTTAATGCAAGCACTGCACCCAAAACCATTGTTCCGTTGCCCGTAGTACGGTGTTCGAAATTCATACACGTTTACGTGAATAAAACATGATCAGAGAAATAAGTAGTCTGGCTTGGTTGAAATTTGAAAAGGCGCGAGTCTCTTTCTTCTTCATTGCTGACTTGTAATTGAGATCAGTCCGTTACTAAAAGTCAGTTACTAGAATGATTCGCCAATAAAAGATTGGATGATATTACTGTATTGTATTTTGCGTTGCTTTTTTAAATGCAACCTAGGAAATCGGTGCATGATGAACAACGATCCTGGTGTTCCTGCTGTTTCTATCGTCTGCCACATACCCCTACTTAAATACATCGACGTGGCTTTTCCTCCGTTTTTACTTATCCTTGCATTTAACATGTTTTACCAAAATGGTGCTGCAAGGAAAATGGTGCTGCATTCTAGTCCAGAGATTCGAGTTTTAATTGGAGTAGCTTTCTACTGCGCTTTGTTTTGGCGAGAGTCCACCTGTACAGTATTATGAAACTTCAGGATTTAAAGCAAGATCAAATGACGGGATTTCGGAAAAGAAACATAAATGAAGCTCTTTTTTTGTCTTTGAGGAAGAAATACTGCTTCTTTTTATATTTTGCTCGTCTCTCTGTTCGTGCTCTTTGATCATTGTGCGGATTCTGATATTTTTATTACTGCATTATAAATCGTTTTCTCGAAGAAGTCTTGTAAATGGCATGTAAGCCCATACATTTTCAGAACCCTATTATTTTTTATAGGGACAGTCACATTTCAAAACAAGCCTAGGCATGTAAATACGTTTAATCTCGGTGAAGTCGGGCGAGGCGGCGAAAATCTGGTTTGAAGGTCTTATTAAAAAGTTCGCGCGTAGACGCAGATAAATTTGGTTGTTATAGCATCGAAGAAGCACCCATTTTTCAATGCGTATTCATTTTGCCTTGGCTAATTTCCAACGGTACAGAACTGCCATATTGATTTATTTGCATCAAAAATTAAGAGCTATTTTAAAGTATATTTTCAATACTACAGCTGTAATCCAATTTTATGGCTTCTTTTATTCAGGCAATCTATTTTTGAGATGGACTCGAAACAAGCAGGAAAAGATGACGATGTTTTTCATTTCGTGAGTTACATTCCATTTGGCGGAAGACTATACGAGTTGGATGGATTGCAGGAGGGCCCCATAGATCACGGAGCCATCGAACCCAGCGAGAACTGGTGGAACTCGGCCCGGGAGATCATACAAAAACGAATTAAGGAGTGAGTTTTGTGCGTTGATTTATTTATGCTGAAGTGTGGTACTGTTTCTTCAAACATTTTTATTAATAAATCGAGCTGGCCTCAAATCCACACCTTTGTATGCTCTGTGTTCACACGTGGAATGGTCCAAAAATTCGCAAGCTTTAAAATTATTAATGCGTTATATCATTTACATTTTTCAGCCTCCGATGGTAAATCAAAAGCATGATGTGAAATGAATGTAGATAATGGAATATTTAAAAGTAGGAAAGAGCCTCTGGCCGATCATGAAGCGAGTGATCGTGCGTCCAAGGTTCGCCAGGAAATGTTTCTTTGGTTTGAGCAGCCGAAAAAATATGATTAAGATTCGTTGGCGTCTTGTTTTTTCCGCGAATATGGTTTTGTATGCTTATTATTTGCGTTGGCTCATGCAGGTTTGAAGGGGATGAAATCCATTTCAACCTCATGGCGGTGATAGAGGACAAGTGTTCGAGGTTTTCGAAGGAGATCACGGAATTGCGAGAGAAATTAAAGGTGAGGTAACCTCGTACCGTTTTATTTATATCCTTGAAGAGTGTGACGATGGAGTATCCAGCAACGACTACGCGACATACAAGCGAGTCACAGAATAGAAAGTACCAAAACATGAAGTGCACAAAATGTTGTAGCTAGAAAAGGAACTTATGTAACAGTATTAGCTTGCCTATTCAAGCTAATTGACCCAGCTGAACTTCTCAGAAAACCCAAGAACGCTGACCTACACATGTTGTTTTGGCTTTTGTTCGGTTCTCTGCTGTTGTGCACCCTCCAGCAGTTTAGCAGATTTCTCAGTATACCTTGAACAAGGTTTTATGATAGTTGTTGAAAATACTTTCACCATACTGCAGTAAACTTTTGAAACAACGGATCTTGTTGTAACGAATAATCGCTTTCAGCGAAATTATTTTTTTAGGTCTCTGACCTTGTCGACGTTGCAATCTATTCAATGAAGCTTTACTTAAGGTTTTACAAATTGTTTCAATTAAAGACCAATACCGAAGCAACACTGTTATAAAAATGACGTAAAGATGGGTAAGACAGTGTAGAAAACCATCCAAAATCATAAGGTCTCCTCGGCATTGCCTTAACGTCATTATACATGGTGACGAACATTTTTATTTTCAGAATTCCGAAGAAATGCAAGAAAGTGAACGCAGTGAAATCATGTCTCGAATCGCTCAAGTGGAGCAGCAATTGCAGACGGAGAATGACAAGCGAAGGCGTTGGCAAGTCGAGAACATCCGCCGGAAACATAATTATGTCCCTTTCATTGTTGAACTTTTGAAATTGCTGGGCAAACAAGGTATGTTGATGCCCTTGTACATGAAGGCGAAGGAGCGGGTGAGGCAGAAAAGCAATTCGAGCCTATGGTTTCTCGCTCCGTCCTAACTTTTTTGCTTTAGGCTACGATTTCTAAGGATTCCAAAGATCAAACGCAGAAGGGTAAACAGAGAGCGCTTGCTGAGCTTTTTAACTTTTCAAAAATGTTGAACGTGCATGTTCAATCTGTTGAAGTGTTCGATGAGACATTTTGACATCGACATCGATGACATACACCTAATGCATGATGATCCGTTTGTTCCAGAATTTGCAATCATGCCGATTATATATTTTCCTACATGGATAACTAAATGCGACGCATTAGTGCGCGAACTTTCTCCTGGTGACTTGGTGGAATTCCATCGACAAAGGTATTCGCATTGGGCAGTGTACGTGGGCTTCCCGCGCGACTTCCGTCTACACCCTATCAACGAATCCCTGGATGAAGAAGTTGCATACGTTCTTCATCGAGCTAATCCCCACGACAGCGATGTTTTTAATCTTGCTAGTCGCTCAACAAGTATGAAAAAGCTGCCCACGGAATCGGAAACGTATGCATCGAGCCGTTGAAAGATCGGTACTTTCGTGTTATCTCAGTACCTCATTCCTAGACCGCACTACCATCCAGACAAAATCTTTTGGACGAGTTCATAATCAGGATAACCTACCAGAAACTATGAATTCTATTTTTCCGCATTCTGCTTAAACTGATTTTGGGAGGCGCTTAGGTAAAGTTAGGTTAGGTCAGGTTAACAAACATCTATTAATTAACATAACCTAACTTTACCTAACTGCCTCCCAAAATCAGTTTCAGCAGAAACCTACTGCCTCCCAAAATCAGCTTCAGCAGAAACCCAAAGAAAGCAGAAACTGATTATGGGAGGCGGTTAGGTGAAGTTAGGTTAGGACAGGTTAAATTGGTCAGAGGGAAGGTACAGAGATAACAGGAAAGTAGGTACTGAGGTAATAGGAAAGTACTGAAAGATGATATGAACGGCAACAAAGTGAGACGCAACAACTCAATGGACCAAGAATTTCGTCCAAGAGAACCCGGCGTCATTGTGGGGGTAGCATTTGCGGAATTGCGATCGAACGATTCTGGTGAGGACATCAAAAGAGGTAAGTGACTGTTGAACATTTTCGAATTAGATTTGAAAACTGTTACCATCTGCATGAAATTCCGCATTTACGCTAGTCAAATGCGTTATCGCACTGATTTGTCTCGGAAATAAAAATAAAAGAGGATTTTAATTTGATTCTATTGATAAATTTAGGCTTTTAGAAAGCCTAACAGAATTTAAATTTGCAGCAATTCTTCTTTTGAAGGGAAATTCATTAGCTGGTGGAAACTTGAATATACAGTATAATCTATGTTCAAAGCCAGATCTGAACCGTGAAATTTGACAAGTTCGAGTGCAAACGTTGAATATCATTGAGCAATTTTGTTTTGGATACAACTACCCAATATTCTTTTGAATTGCTGCGGTGAAGTAATTTAAGTGCTTGCGACTCACTTCCATAAAAAAAAAAAACTACTGAGCCTTTATTTGTCGCCCTTTCGTGATATGCCACTTGATTTTCTTATAAAATATGTATTGGCTTGGAAGATATGAAACGAGTTTTGACTCACTCTTCTGAATGGAAAAATTACTTATGCTATACCCACTTGATGCATCTACCTAAAGTGCGTGCCAAGTTGGTTTGGGGAAAAGCCCAGACAAATCTGAGCGTTCTTTTCTTGATTTGTCGACATTTTAAGCGTACACATTTCAAATACAGTAGTTTGAGGCGCAAAAATAAATGAACAAATCCGTAAAACTTTTTTGCCGGACAGTATTTATTAAGAGCTTTGGTTTCCAAATGGTTTATCGTGATTTGTAAACCGCTACAGTATGCTTTTGATGAACCACACGCTTGAATGATCTTTGTAATTTCGTCTTCCAGGGTCTTCAAGCTACAATATTTTCTTCAACAACTGCGAACATTTTGCAGTTTACTGCAGATACGGAAAGAAGATAAGCTTACAGGTAGACCAGGCATTCTTCACATGCGCTATTACAATGTATACCGGAATCGCCGCAGTACGTTGTCCTAAATATTTTGTTGCTCGCTCAAAATATTTTGTTGCTGGCTCATTGGCTTTTTTGCCTTTATTAGGGGTAATGGAGCTGATCTCCAACTTTTTCCCGGACAAAAAAATGTTTCAAGCTGGGAATAAATTTATCCCAGACCCGCCACGCCTCGGCAATGGGCAAATTTTACTTGGCAAAATTTTGATGTACTTCAAAAATTAACATGTGGAATAGGGGGTGCCCAGGTGCAACTGTCTTATCATGATACAAACTATGCAGAGAACTCGAAAAAAAAAATCATGATTAAAGTTGGTAAACTGGTGAAGGACCACCAGTAATCTTGTAATTGTGCTGAATGTGCCTGTTTTGGCCTGGTAGGCCACAACTGGCAGATGAGCAGTGGGATTTTATTACTTCTTACAATCCCAACTTAATCCTCATGCAAATTATATAAAGAATTTTAAAATATTGAATGATTAATGCCTATATTGAATGATTACATGTCAAGGACCATCAGTATTTATGCACATTGCCAAGGTGTGATTGGACACCACACTTGCCTAATTTATTGAATTTGCTTGCCACTTCCCTAGGTTTGTAACATTTTTTAAATATTTGTGGTGCTCCATTCCCTTCCACCTTCCACCCCCCACGTAAAGTAAAACATTTTGGCTCAATGTTTGAAAATATTAATATTTTGTGTTTTTCATCATATCTCTGTCAATTACTCAACTCTGAACTTTTTTGAAGTTTAACAAATTAAAATTTGGACAACTTCACCATGCGTTTAAACATGTTTCAAATTTGAAGTTTGGTGCAATAGAAACATTTTTATAAATTTGTAAACTTTCAAAATTGGGATGCAAAAATTGAACATGTAAAATTGATCATATGTAACTTGTAAATAATGGCCGGTCTCTATTAAACGCCTGCAGCAAATTCGAATATTGAAATACCGTAAATAAATAATTGTAAATATTTTCAAATATTGTTTTTAAGAGTATATACGGTGTGTTGATGCCCTTGTACATAAAGGCAAAGGAGTGGCTGAGACAGAAAATCAAATGCTTGGATGCCAAAGCTTGGTGGAATTGAAAAAATAAAGTCCGATGCTGAAGATTCCTGTTATTGAGTTCGCATTTTCTCATTTTTCTCTCGCGAACGACTCGAAAAAGTGAGAAATATATTTTGAACGTGCATGTTTGACATTTCGTTTAGATCAGACATTTTTCGCCTGATGCATGTTGATCCGTATGTTTCAGAATTTGCGGTCATGACTTCCGAATGGTATAATTTCTTTGAGTGCGACGAATTTGTGTGCGAACTTTCGCCTGGTGACTTGGTGGAATTCCATCGACAAACTTATTCGCATTGGGCAGTGTACGTGGGCTTCCCGCGCGACTTCCGTCAACACCCTATCAACGAATCCCTGGATGAAAAAGTTGCATACGTTGTTCATCGAGCTAATCCCCACGACAGCGATGTTTTGAATTTTGCTAGTCGCTCAACCAGTATGAATAAAGCTTCACATGGAATTGGAAACGTATGCATCGAGCCGTTGAAAGATGTTATGGACCGCGATAAAGCGAGAAAGAACAACACACTAGACCAAAGCAACGTTTCGAGAAATCCGGACGACATCGTGGGGGAAGCGTTCGCGGAACTGAGATCACAGGGTTATGGAAATCATGAAGGTGAGGACATTGAATGGAATGATTGACATAGGATATTATTATATTGAATCTTAAGTGTCACCAGCTGCATGAATTGCCGTATTCACGTAAACCGCACGCTTTAGCTTCGCAAATTCGTCTCGGAGATGAAATTAAAGTAAGAATTTTTATTTATTTTAGTGGTGAATTCGAAAGGCAAAATGTATCCCTAGAAACTGAGGAAAATCATATAATTTTCATTCCAAATTGAAACTAATTAACGTATTACAACTTCTCCGTAAACTTTAGTGTGTTCAAATCGATATCTGAACCCACAGCAACAAAATGACCAGTCAGTGTGCGAAAGTTTAAAATCATTTGGCACTTTCTTCTCAAATTGCTAAAACACAGTATGCTTTTTGAATTGATGCGATGCAGTACTAACGTGATTTTAGTGCTTGCAAGTGACTTTCACTTTGAAAAATGTTTTAATAAGCCTTCATTTGCTGCTCTATCTTGCAATGCCTATTTTTCATCGAGAAATTTATCGTCATAGAAAAATTGAACCTTGTTTTGACTCACTCTGCTCAGTGGAGTTGTTGGGATATTTCGATACCACCGACACCGCGTAACAGATTCGTGTAGAAGCTTCGATCCAGTTTGAGGAACTAAAAAGTAAGCTGTATCTGAAATTCTCGAAAAATAGTTTCGTTCTGAGGCCTTTCTTCGTTCTTCTCGAATTTAAATTGGATTTCGAAACTCTCATGAAACATTTATTTTAACGCCCACGTTGATTCTTGAACTGCTACATTAAGTGTGGTGATAACGTTTACACTATCGGACGATCATTCTAAGTTCTTCTTCCAGGGTCGTCATGCTACAATGTTCTCTTCAACAACTGCGAGCATTTTGCGAATCACTGCCGATATGGAGAGAGAAGGAGTCAACAGGTTGACTCGGTATTAAATACTAGTGCTGCTGTCCTCGCTGTTGGTGTTGCGGCTGCAGGTTTGTACAAGTTGTTCAGTGGCGAAAATGAAAGCAGAAGTGAAACCGCGAGGCAGAGGAACGAACGGCACCCGGAAAGTCGGCTGTATCTTCAGTAAACATTTAGATGGACCTATCGCGGTGCATTTTCTCGCCAAATACAATTTACACCCACCATTATATTTTAACTGAATAGAAATTGTTCCTTGAGGATACTCGTTACCGAATGATATTTCCGGCCTTCTAATATCGTCTCCTAAGCATTTGGATTTAAATATTGGTGGAACGTGGTCGTGAGTGTTACCAAAGGTTTGGGCTTTTACATCAGCTGGGGAAACTATGCCTGTGTGGCTGTGTTCGTTGGGTTAGGAGTATTGAGTGAATTGCTGAGTTGTTTTCTGATAGAAATTTTCGGGATCGGACCGGGAAATTTCGCGGAAAAGAAAATTTGTGAGGCGAAAAGCGATTGATATGGGTATTCTGTCAGGTGATGATGAAATCCGGTGACTTGTCGATTACATCAATTTAAAAAAACGCTGAATTTCGAAATTATTACCTTGCGGCTGTTTCTATAATGCAAGGTTTCTGAACAAACAAAAAAACCTTATCCCATGTCGCACAGAAAATCAGCAAAAGAAATTGAAAAATTTTCTTGTTTGCAGAGGTATTGCCTGCTGGGAAGGGCGTATGAGCTCATTTTTGAAAGATTTCCCGTGTGTTTGTTCAATCACACAAACCGTTGAAAATACTGTAATAGGACATCCCAGGGACAAAGTCTCACATCTCACAACTGTTGAGTGGATCTTGAAATGTAACTGGAATAAAATTTCGTTACTACGAACTTCCAAGGACCTTTTTAAAAAAATCGTTGTAACAAAAAATCGTTATTATGATAATTTTTTGTAACGTAATTTTACTGTGTACAAATTATTTTTATCTGAGATTTTCTGGATGAATAGCTTTAGAATGTAGATGATGGAAACCTGAGATGAAAATGTGTCCACATCAATGTAACATTCAATGGCTGCTGAGGACTTGTGCAGCTGTTGTAGTAAAATTTGGAAAAAATGGCTTCGAAATTGTGGTATACAGTATAGTTGAAAAACTGAGAAATCCCTTTTTTTTTCTCCTGATGTTCCCTGCAGGTTAGTTCTAAAGATTTCTTGAATCATTTCTGAAAGTATCTAAATTCTTAGCGTCATCTGTTGGTGATGAGATGAGATTTCTCCTAGTATCACGAAAATAACTTCAACAATTAATTACCCTTGCATTTAAAATGAGACGGTATCTTGCAAGACTTCGGAATATCGCCTCGTTTTCTGATCGCACTTCCTTTCTTGGCTTCCAGATCTCCCAGTTATCCTTGACTATGATTGTCTTGCGATTGGGGATATTTGTTTCGACGCTTCCGCTTCTGCGCGTTTACGGGCATCGTTCTTCGTGGTTCAAGAAAGAGTCCAAAGACGAATTCACTTCCTTGCTTCAACCGGGGGACTTGATAGAATTTGATCGCGGAACGTACCGGCATTGGGCAGTTTTCGTCGGCACGCGAGATGACGTCCCATCGCTCTACCTCGATTGTCCGTACTGTGGCGGACTACTCGGCAGTGTATCTTTTATGCGCCGTGTTGTCTGGAGTTTCGCGCGTGTCGTAGGAATGTCACGACACCGGTGTGGTTGTGATCGACACTTCGTGGTGCATCGCGCTAATCCTGCGGATAGCAATTTCGTCGGGATGCTGAGCCAGAGTCGGAGTGTGAGCAAAGGATTGAATGGGATCGGAAACGTGATCTTGGAGGATTTGGAAGATGCCTGGGGAGACAGCGAAGCTCGGAAAAATAACCGATTCGATAGCGTTCATCCGGATTTGAGTGTTCCACGGGACGAGGTTCTTCAGCGCGCTTTTGAAAGATTTTGGAAGAAAGGTTCCGGTGAGTCTTCAACTTCCTACAGTAGTTTTTCGTTATTGTTGTGCAATATACAGTCCTGCTAATTTTTCATCGATAATTTTTCGTTTTCCGCATCACTCACGAACAGTTCAGTTATGTTGATGGTGATTATGGGTATTTATTTTAAATTACAGAAATTCTTCAAGACGAGTACAATGTCGTGGTGAACAATTGCGAGCACTTCGCAGTTTGGGTGCGCTACGGGAAAAAAGACAGCGCTCAAGTTACTTGGTACTCAATAATCGTTGGATTCTTTCTTTTATTTTGGGGTCTGAAGCAGGTATTTTGGTCTTCTTCAAGATCGTCTTTTATTTTTGGAGTTTTTGCCTTTTTCACAGCTGGAATAGTTCTGTTTGTCGTGGGCGGCATTACCTTGTTCTGGCCTTCTAGTTGGAAAAATGGTGCTTGAAGATGTCATGAACCAAGTGAACACACATCTTTCGTTGAGTCAGTCATGCAATGCTTTAATCAAACTCGGTAACAGAATCTCGACGAAGACTCAAGCATGAATACCCGGTAAGCATGTGATACATCCAAGTATATAACCGAAGCTTTGGTGAAATTATCGGCCTTGTGCGATTAATTTTGTGATTCGTTGAAAGGCTTCTGAAGAACGTGGAACATCTTTCTTGTATGGATGTGTGCTGCTGCTTTTTACATCTGATGCTTCCGTGTATATCATTAATGCTTGAAATTTCCCCTTTTTTCAAGATTGATGTGAGAGTGATCAGTTATATGTTCCAGTGAAGCAAATCGGTCGATCAATTTTTTTATGATGCGTTGTGAACATTCCGCTCAAAATTCATGAATCATTTCCCAGGAGGATTGCCGTGATCTGATCTTCCCCGATCATGGTGAGTTCTAAAACTTCTAGTGTACCCTCTTAAGTACGTTTTCATGTCAAAAGTGGTAAATACTACTCCTCCACAGCCACAAATGTGAGATATGTTTATCAATTATGAAATTAAATGGCATTAAATAGTGTATTTCGTTACTACGGTCTTAGGGATCAGGATGCAATTTAATTGACCACTAAGTACTTCACGATAAAAGCTTCAGGCGACACTGTGAAGAATAGCGTAACAGTAAAGGAAAAGTGAAGTCGAGTTAATTCCGCGGGATGATGTCAGTAATGGAAAAATTAAGAAGTTTAGATGGTTTCATCGTTCGAGAAGGAATCATTTCCTGCTGACGCTTCTCCCAATCGCCCCGTCAAGGTTCTTGATTAACCGATGTCTACTCAAAATTCTACGTACCGCTCAGGAATAAATTTCAGCAGTTTATTGCAATGATAACTTTCTGATTGTTGGAAGCAGAAACGCTGAACGGATGAGCTTTGCCGCAGAAATACGATGAGCTGCAAGTGTACTCGCGACGAGGGTTGCCCGCGACGCAGTCCAGATGCGTCACCAACGCCTGTTGCGCTTTCTGTTCTTTTTGCCGTTGCGCCTCGGCGTGTTCCTATATGCCGTCCTCACGGCTAGATCCGAGGACTTGAACCGTAACAGCCCTCTGCACATTCTGGTCTCGATTCTCTTGTTCTTGGCGCCATTGGTGGAGGACAGGACTTTGATGGTGCCGTGGTTGATGGTTTATGGAGCGGAATTTGTCTACCTTTTCCCCTGGGACTGCTGCGGGGATTTGTGTACGAGCTGGAATTATATCCGGGAGCTTTTGTTGGCGTACGGCCTGTTGGTGGTGTCATCGTACTATTTGTTGCTGAAGGATGTGGAAGAGACTGGAGGCGTTGATCTTGGTCATCATTGGGTAAGCATGCTCGATACATTTCCCTGAATCCGTTCCCTCCTTCGCCTAATGAATGCACTCTGTGAAATTTTTATGAATCAAAGTAAACATATATGGCGAGATTATTGAATTTTCTCTCAAGAGAGTTGTGAGTAGAATCCTTTTGAACATTATTTACTTTTATCGGACTATTCGAAAAATTGGTTCTTTGAGACGTTTTATGCCTAGGCGTGTATTCGTGTGAGCGCGAGTTTCCTTTTGGACATTAACACAGTGTCCCTCCACCAGCGACTTTTACGAAAAAATAAAGGAATCGCTTTTGCCTGATTTCTGTGCCCTTTTCGGATAGTCAAAGAAGCTCAACTAACCTGACAATTTCATGCGACTTGAGGGAAGATAGAAAAGTGTTATTTTTTCCTGTATTTGTCGCCGAAATGTGGCTCATCTAAATGAAACCAGCGCCATTTTCTTAAATCGATTCAGGTGTCATCGTATTCACTCGAGTACCCCACGCCCTCGANCCGGCTTCGCAGGGAGGTGTAAAACGTGCGAGCTTGACGCAAAGTCAGCGGACATCCAGGAAGGGGAAATTTGCGGACGTGTGTAAAGATTTCAGGCGTTCTTCGGGTGCGGATCAGCCTGTATTATCCCGAGGATACTGTCCCGTTGAGCGAAAGGTGCAGAGATACTATGCAGTAAGAAGGCAAGGTGGAGGCGGCGGATTCCCGCGAGAAAGTGGAGAAGCGTCTATGTGGCGTTCAGCGTGCTTTGTGATGGGAAAGGGCGTGAGATTGATGCTGGGCACGGTTGCGTACATCCTGGACAACGCATTCGATACGGGAGATTATCAAGAGGCGCTTCTGTCCTCGAGACTCCTTGGAAGGAATCCTTCGCGGAAAACTCGTTGAAACGCGAGGAAAAACTAGACTTGACTGTGATTTAAAGGAAGGAAATGTTCCGAGGCTTTCAATCCAGTGCTTTGAGGCTGTGATTTTCTGATCGTATTTTTGTAATAGTCTTTTACGCTTTATCGATTGGCTTTCATTTAAAAGCTTCTCTTGTCAGCAATAAAATTGTCGAGTGATGCGCTTTAAAATTTATGTACTTGAAACGTTGACTTTCGACAGTCGACGTTTCATTGGGGTGAATTCAAATTTGTAGCTACTCTTTACTCCGTGAAAATGAAATTTTTTAATGAATTTGCAGGTAATCTCCATTATACTCTTCCAGATACAGTGGGAAACCACGGTATAATTTATAAAATTACTATCACGAGGATTGGTTCATGTTTCATCTTCGTCAGTAACTTATAATTCGGCAGAGCTTCTCGGTTGACGTTTGCTTTCTTAACGGGAAATTATCGATTGTATCCCTGAATTGGGTAACTTCTAGCTCACCATTTGACTTCTTATATCAATCCTTACCACCTTCCTTGATACAGCAAGTATCTAAATTATGTCAATTTGACCGTCACTCAGTGACTTGCCTATTGGTGATGCCGATTTTCTGTATATTTAGGATCACTTGTCGACTAATGAAATTGACCGATAAACTTACGTTCAACGCGAATATCGGACGTCCTTCGTCTGCTCTCGGTAGTCAGCCTGTTCTTACGAATACTTGAAGTTTTTGTCTTAAAATGAAAATATTTTTTCGGAAAATTGGGTCCATTTTTCTCCACTTCTGTCGAGATCATCGTATCAAACTTCGGAACATGAGAAACTGGCGAAAATTTTGAGCCAGTCCTCTTAACAATGCGGGAAACCTGCACTTCTAATGATTCTGATTCTTGCGTAACTATTATCCTAATCGCCACTGCGGCATCGATATTTCGAGTACTCGATTTTATTTGTATTTTTAACGTCTGAAGTAGGATTTGTGTTAAAATGCATCGTACATATTTCATGAATATGTATTAATTTCGGGAATTAAACTGAGGACTGTTCTGTATCTTGAATAGATCCGATCCGACGGAATCCTTACACATGTATAAATGCAAGAAAATTCGACCACATGCACTGTGTGTTATTCAAGATACTTAGTTTCATCCCAGAAATTAATATAAATTCATAATTGTGTATGTTTAGTTTTATTCACACAATAAGTAAATAAATACTGTATATTCCTAATTTTTTTTTGCTGTTCTGGTCTTCTGGAAACCGTCTGTGCAGATTGCATTGTCGATTCATTGAGTTGTATGATTTTTAATGAGTGTAAGCTGATGGCGATGTCAAATTTGAAAGCGCTCAGCTCTGACCAGGTTCGTCGAAAGTATTTTTCTTTCACAAC